ACTATACCGACCTAAACAAAGCATTATTTGTAGGTAAATTTTTTTTTTAATTTTACCTACACAAATTCAAGACTATAGGTAAAAGTGTCTGTAGGCATAGGTTATTTTTTTTTGTAGTGAGGGTAACTTCTATGATTAGCTACGGGCTTGATTCAATTTTATATATCTCATGGTGTTGCATATACACATTAATTCTTTGTTGCCAACTATCAAGCTTTAAATTTTCAATAAATAAAAAATAAAGTTCTAGATTATTTCTATTCATGGTGACTTATATTGATAGTATCAAAACTTAATTTATATGTTTAAGAAAAAAATTCATAGAAATAAATACATTAATATATTTTTTAACCTTAAATATAGAAAGAAAAAATTATGTTAGAAAAATCATACTCATCTTGTATTGTATGTGCTCATAATTCTCAATAGAAATTAGACATTATTTTTACAATCTATAGTAAACACACATATTATAGTTTAAAAAAATGAAAAATAACCCAATTAGCTTTTAAAGTTTATGTAAATTCTACTAATTTGAGAATAAAAACCACTAAATGAAGAATTAGATTTGCATATTTAGAAATATCTTCATGAATTCCAACTAATAATAAGTAATGCTGAAAATAGTGTTAAAAAATGTAAACATTACTTTTTCTGTCTTCCTTAAATATTAATGTTATACATAACTTTACTATCATTAGTATCATTGCGACATAGATGACATACACTGGTAAATAAATTTTCAATTTTTTTTTAGTTTCTCACACGTATCCAACAATTCTGCTGAAAATTTGATTCGCCTTGTTGCGGGACATTATATTTGAGTGCGACAAAAGTATGCTCTTTCGGGGCGTCAAAAGGGTTCGGTAAAAATAATTCTTGTGTAAAAAATAATCATAAATCCGAGCTATATGGTGAAAATGCAACAAAAGCAGGCGATGACAATAATAGATTCCTCGAATCCTGATACAGCACCGCAGTAACGAACCATTTTTCAAACCAAATAGTACTTCATATCGATAGCTTTATTACGAGCACTTCGTCAATTTTGTTTTTTTATAACTAAAATTTAGAGTCAAATTTGAAACCAGAATTCTCAGGTACAAAGAAAATGAAACGAATATTACCAGCAGCAAGCTTTCCAACATACACGAAATCACGATTGAATTTATTAATATTCTAATTTAAAAAATATAATGTGCTCAAACTTCATATTTCAGTTGATGCAAAATAGTACGTGTGTTTCTCCCTATCAGCAGCAATGAGCCATAACTTTGTGGGGACAAGTTCCTAAAGCTTTGCCGTTAACCCACTAGGAATTGGTTTGGAAGAACCATTATCCTTAATGTCATTATCTTTAGAATCCATTTCACATGCATTTGGCGGAACATCCACAGCAGGGGAACAGTTGAAAAATCCATGAGGCTGCACAAAACAAGGGAGCTTCCTAGGTTAGACAACAAAGTAGTAAGACCAAATTACACAAAAAGCCCCAAAAAGCAAAAAGATCATAGGCAACAATTGCTGACGACGAAAAACGCAATTCATCATCTTAAAGTCAAGGGAAAAAATCAACCAACTGAAACAAGTAATTACCATGAGCATGAAACCAATGTGCTCTACTGGCATAACAGGCCAGTCTTCCAAACGTGGAACATGTGTGATTCCAAATACATACCTGAAGACAACACAATTAGTATGGAGAGGACGCAATGTGAAAAGTGAAAACATGTTGAGGGTAGGGTGGAACATTAGAGTGAACGGGAGAAGAAATGAAGATTGAAGAAACTTATTTTGACAATGTTTCAATAAAACAACATACAAAAATCTGAATAGGTTATATTGATTGAGGACAAGTCACATCCAGGCGAGAATCACATCACTTGACGAAGAAGCTACTCTTTGTGTGTGTTTGGAACCAAATAAAAAACATGGATCAGCACTCTCTCTTCACATCTAATAGAAGCAACAAAAAGTAGTTTCTCCATCAATTAATGTGATTCGATATTGGATGAGGATCCAAGATGTGCATCAAAACATGGTTTAGATATAGAGAGAAAGTATTGATCCACATTTTTTATTTGATTCCAAATATACACCAATGCAGTTACATACTTTATATGCTAGTTTAACTGATACAAATAGAGATGACTAATTTAGCTTTACAAATTTTGTAAAACATCAAGTATAAACAGCGAGGAATTCATGAAATTATGTAGGCATGTGCGTGAGCGAGTGAGGAAAAAAGAGGAGGGAGAGTTACCAAATGACTATATTAGTTTCTTCCAAAGGTCGGTTCTGCTTAACCCATGTAGCTAGTCCTTCACCAACACGAGGATTTTGATTAGGAAATTCTCCTCCAGGAAACATCTCATCGCGTGAATATGTTGTTACCCAAAAATTATGCTTCAAGAAAGCAGCTCTTCTTAAAAACTTGGCTTCAGAGCCTGCCAATGGTAAGCAGTTTGCACCAGGTAACAGCTTGTAGCCTGTCAACTGACCAGTTCTATTGCATGTTCTCGTGTTCCTTACCTGAAGGATTATTAAAACATTAACAGGCCTCGGTCAAAAAAATGTTGGTACCATGGTTTAACGTAATATACAAAGCCCGGCATTTAAAACAAAGTTCAAAACAAGATACCAAGCCACAGCAAGTATTTTCCTGGTGATAAAACCAAGTGCAAAATTTTTAGCACTAGGTCAAAAGAAACCTACTTGGAATTACTAACATTATGTGCTTGCTTTCATAAGACAAACCAAATTATTTTCAAAGCTTAACAAACACTTATCTGATATGATTGTTTATGCTATGTGTAACAGCAATTTCTCATAATTGTAAATAAGTATTCAACAGTCTGACAAAACAAAAAATTACCAACACCAATAGTCAGAAGTTGGCTGTAAAAACCCACAGAAGACTTACGATCCAATGGCGAGCAGTCAAAGAATTGCAATCACGCATGGCTTCCAATTCAGATCTGAGCAAAGTCTCTTCAGCATAGAAAGCATTATTGTGAACATTATTCTCACCTGGTTCCTCGACTTTCATATTGACCTCCACAACCTACCAAACATCTTGAGTAAGAATGTGTACTTGGAAAAGAATAATGATACATAGTTTATTGGAGAAAGAGGAAGCTTTTTATAAATAAAATTGCCAACAAATCATGAAAGTAGCCATTTCTGTTATTTCAGTATTAAAATAACAATGTGGTAAAATTGGCTTCTGAATACCTAAGGCAGATCACGACGAGGGATTTCAACATTGTAGTAGCATATAGCCCTGTGTCACAAACTTGCAATTTCTTGAGAAGAAAAATGAAATAAAAATTTAGGTAGTTTTGATAAATCACAACGGAAAAAGCAGTGCACTTAATTCAAGTTGTGTATATATGTTGATGAGTTCACTGCAAAAATTATAATCAAGAATTCTTTTAGGATGAGATGAGACACTGGTGAGAGCTAAAATATGCTTTAAAGTTCTCTAGAAGTCTCTGCGGGAGGAAAACTCACTGCCACCAGGACTGTTACGATCACCACTTTATTTGATTCATCAACAAATAACAAGTACTAAGGCATCACAGAAAATATTCTATTATATAAAAAATTATTCTTCATTAATAGAGACAGAAAGAAACTGCTAAAGCATAACCTAGTATGGTAAAATTTAGCAATTCAATGCAAAGTACCTGATTCAAAGCTTCACCAGGTTTAGAATCAACAGACATGTCCATGCGAGCAACAAAGAAGTGTTGATGAACTGGTGCATATAGACCAGGTGCAATCATAGTTCCATATTTTCGAAACTCTCCAGGCAGCAAGGCTCCTAGGCTGAGAATTCCAGTAAGCTTAACTTCAGCTTCAATCTTTCCATCCTGGAAAAACACACATCATTGTTTTCCAAAGAGTTAAATATCATAAGACTAGAGGATTACATATTAAAATATAAAAGACAATATACTAGTTCATGAAAAAGCAAACCACAAAAAAATGTATAATGCTGAAAGTGCCTTCAACCAAAAGTACACGCTGAAAAGAAGGGTAAAGACATGCAGAGTCTAACAATAATTCAAAGGGTGATCAGATACTGGGTATTTGTGAATTTTACAATAATTAAATCGAGATTGATTTAAAATGTCATTGATGAAAGCATATTTATCTCTAAAAAAAATGTGATACCCTACTTGCCTGATAAAAATGCCAAAAAAATCCATACTCATAGTTGGCCACGGTACATATGAAAGATACTGAAAGTCTTCTAGATCTACGGACTTCTGCTAAGCCAGTTCTCCAGTCTTGATGCTTCCAGAGAATTCCACGATCCTCTTCGTGCAAACATACACAGTTTTCTATTGTTTCCACTCCACCAGTGAAATTTGTGAAGTGAGCATCAAAATACTTAATGTAGCCCAAACAATCACATCCCTGTAACAACAAACATTGACCCCAGACAAAAAGGAAGCCAATTAGAAAGAAATGCCAAATGATAAGCATACAAGAGGACAAATATATTAGACTAAAACCTTCTTGAGGGAATGCGCATTTTTTCCCAAGCCATCTTCCCCAGCATCAAAAGCATTTTTTCTGTAATGTGGGTCGTTTGGATCACCATAGGGAACAACCATCTCCACAAAACTCAGCCTATGAGCAACAGGCCTTCGCCCATGACTACCATCAACATATGCAACAGAATATATAACCAAACCTTCTTTGGGGGTGAATCCAATACGAAAATTCCACTGTTAACAAAGACAGAACAACGACGGCTAATATATCAAGTAGCAAATTATCAACTAGTAATTAAAAATTCCAGTGAATCAACTCTTATGACATTTCCAATGACAAATCAATAATAAAGTAACTTGGACTCTACCTTCTGCCATTCAACAAAGTACCCATTGACACGGAAGCTTGGACCTTCAGGCTGAATAATTTGCAAGGGTTTTATATCACTTCTATCAGAGCTCCCTCTGGTTTCACCAGAAGTATAGTTCCTCAAGGGATCAACCGGCGGAAGGGGAACAAGTTTACGATCATCAAACTCTATCACCACCATGTTTTGCATATCAACAAGAACATAGATGCCCTCAACTGGGCGGGCATAGCCATTTTCCATGGGGCAGTCACTCTCAGATCGACAAAATATGAGTGGTTTAGCAAGTCTTCTCCCAGGAGCATCTGCTTGACTGTAATAACCAACACACCTGCAACGGAATTATGCAGAACAAAGTCTCAATAGATAAAATGCAAAGAGAAAGAATAACAATATCTTCATTCAAGAGATCTATCATATAAATAATTGACATCCAACTAAAATTACCAGGGATCAACCATTACAAGGTCCATGTCTTCAATACCCCTTTTCTTCATAGCCTCTATAAATGGGGGAAAACTTTTGACAACAGCTTCGCATTCGGCATATTCCTCAGCATCCTGAAGATAGAATATTATGAAATTGAGAATTAGCAGATTAAAATTGCAGAAGCTTGAAAAATGTGGACATAATAAATATGAAGGTATTAATCACTTAACGGCTTTTGAAAACTCCACACTTCTGATTATCTTTCCTAACAAATTGGAAATACAATTTCATATTAAAGATTTTACCATTCTACTAATCCAATCATTATTACTTCCCAATCATGGTGAAGGAGTGACTTGCAGTTTTCTCCATTTACTTTGTAGTGTTGAAAAAACCAACAGGTGAAATACATAAGTTAGTACAGCAAACATAGATTAAGCAAAGCTTGGATCAATTTCTTTCCCTGATTAATATGGATTAGCCAAAAAAAGATAGTGTGGCAAAGATGAAGGAATAGTAAAAAAAAAATGTCTACGCTTGGCTTGAATTTAAATGAGTCTATCATAGTCTCATACAGAAACACTCAAGTAAAAGCAAGTCAACCAACTATAGAGATTGTTTCCAGTTATACACATATTCTGTGATTGCTTCTAAGGCTGTCTGTGCAAAATTAAATTGCCATTAAGGAGTTAAATTGTTTTCAAAAGACTACAGTAGTACGCTATGGTTAGAAAGGAAATCATAAGCCACTAGGAAAAGACCAACATACCATTGGAGGCTGAACATCAGGAACAACATGTGATGAAATTACTTTTCCTCGGTGATGACCACCTCGAGTTACTGCATGTACTTGTGACAATTGAACAATCCATATACTTGTCTCATTTGATTTCTTATTGTAAACAACAAGTCTAGCACATCTTGGAGGAAGTTTAGTTGGAATCAGCGGTCCTCCTCTAGTTCTTGGAAGTAATGATGGTTGGAATGGTGGAAAGAAGTATGCATCTGCCAGCGCAACAACATTTTTATCTGGCTCCAGTAAAACTGCTTCAATGAAGCGCATACTATCTCTAAGCTGTAAGACATCAGAAATTATTACTACTTGAACTCAAATTGAATTGTCTACTATTGCCAGAACCATCCAAATATACAAATATATCCACTTAAAGACAAAAAAATCTTAGTGTAGCTGACAACCTCAGGAGTAGCTCCAGCAGCTCTCACAGTTGCCACAGCCACAGAGATTTCAGCGGCAGGTAAAGGGGCCAAAAGG